GACCTATGAACCAGGAGGTCAGGATTTGATTCCCAATCAGGGCACAAACCCGGATTGTGGACTCAATTCCCAGTAGAGGGCATGCAGAAGGCAGCTGATCAATGATTCTCTCTCATCATTGATCTCTCTCTCTCTCTCTCTCTCTCTCTCTCTCTCCATCTCCCTTCCTCTCTGAAATCAATAAACATATATTTTCAAAAATAAAAAAATATTTTAAAAAGGCAGTAGTATATTTATACAATGGAATACTATGCAGCCGTACAAAGAAGGAAATCTTACCTTTTGCAACAGCACGGATGGACCTGGAGAGTATTATGCTAAGTGAAATAAGCCAGTCAGAGAAAGACAAATACCATGTGATTTCACATGAGGAATCTAATAAACAAAATAAACTGAGGAACAAAATAGGTCCAGAGGCATAGATGCATGGAACAGACTGACAGCTATCAGAGGGGAGGGAGAAGGGGGGAACTGGATGAAAGAAAGTGAAGGGATTAGCCAAAGAATATATATGCATAACCCACAGACACAGACTACAGTGTGGTGATGGCCAGAGGGGAAGAGCGACAGGGGCTGGGTGGAAGCGGGCAAAGTGTGTATGTGGGGAAGTGGGGACATCTGTAATAGGGTCAACAATAAAAATAAAGGGGGGGGGGGAAAGGCATCACCACACCAAGGTTTTCTCCTGTTATCTTCTAAGGACTTTGTAGTTTTGTGGTTTACATTTAGGTCTATGATCCATTTTGAGTTAATTTTTTTTAAGAGTGTAAGGTCTGTGTCTAGATGATTCTTCTTTGTATGTGACTGCCCCATTGTTCTAGCACCATTGTTGAAGAGACTATTAAAAATATTTTTATTTATTTCAGAGAGGAAGGGAGAGGGAGAGATAGAAACATCAATGATGAGAGAGATTCATTTATCAGCTGCCTCCTGCACTTCCCGTACTGGATATTGAGCCCACAACCTGGTAATGTGCCCTTACCAGGAATCCAAACTTGATCTCCTGGTTCATAGGTCGACGCTCAACCACTGAGCGACACCAGTTGGGCGAGATTGTCTTTTTTTTTTCTTTATTGTTTTCAAGTATTACATATGTTTCCTTTTTCCCCTATTAACCTCTCCCCAGCTGTTCCCACCCCACAACACATGTCCTCAACCCCCTACTGTCTGTGTCCATGGGTTAGAGATTATCTTTATTCCATAGTATTCCTTTGCTCCTTCATCAAAGCTCAGTTAACTATATTTGTGGGGATCCATTTCTGGGCTCTCCATTTAAAAATTATCTATCTATTTATTTATTTATTTATTTATTTATTTATTTATTTATTTTTAGAGAGAGGAAGGGTGGGGAGAGAGAGAAAAAGAGAGGAAACATCAATTTGTTGTTCTACCCATTTATGCATTCATTGGTTGATTTTTGTATGTGCCCTGACTGGAGATCAAACCCAGAATCTTGGCATATTAGGATGATGCTCTAACCAACTGAGCTACCCAGCCAGGGCTGGGCTCTCCATTTTGTTCCATTGACCTATTTGTCTGTTCTTTCACCAATACAATACTGTTTTGAATACTGAAGCTTTATAGTAAGCATTGAAGTAGACTGGGGTCAGTCCTCCAACTTTGTTTTTCTCCTTCAATATTGTGTTGGCTACTCTGCATCTTGCCTATCCATACAAACTTTAGAATAAGTTTGTCAATGTCCATAAAATAATTTGCTAGAATTTTTAATTAGAATTGCATTGAATCTATAGATAAAGTAGGGAAAAACTGATATTCTGACAATATTAAGTCTTACTACCCACAAATATGAAATATCGCTCCATTTATTTAGTTCTTGATTTTGTTCATCAGAGTTTTATAATTTTTTCTCATATATATCTGTACATAGTTTGTTAGAGTTATACCTAAGTATTTCATTTTTGAGGGGGGTGCTAATGTCAATGGTATTATGCTTTAAATTTCAAATTCTACTTGTTCATTGTTGGTATGTAAGAAATCAATTGATTTTTATATATTAATCTTGTAACCTGAAACTTTGCTATAATCATTTAATAGGGTATTTTTGTTTGTTTGTTGTTGTTCATAAGGGTCTTGTGTGTGTGTGTGTGTGTGTGTGTGTGTGTGTGTGTGTGAATTCTTTCAAGTTTTCTGTGTGGACTATCATGTCATTTGCAACAAAGTCTGAGGAAAAAGAGGCTAGAATGGTGCCAAAGGGCCAGCTCCTGGTGGGGACAGAAGGACCTGGATCCCAGGAGCCACTGCCTCAGGAGGCTAGAAGTGTACCCCCTGACGATGAAACCTCCAGTGAACTGAACCTGTAGCAACTCATGGAAGATGTTGGGGGAAGAGCTGGAACAGAGGGTGAAGCCACAGCATAGAGATGATCAGAGTTCAACATGGCTTCTTTGAGGAGTCCTTTTGTGCTCTTTTGCTCTCTTACTCTCTTCCTCCGGAACAGGAGGAGAGCCTCTCAGAAGGTACATAGAGCTTATACGTGTTGGGATTAGTCACTGGCTACAAGGTGAATTGACTAAATTAAACCAGTTTATATGTTAACTAAACCAGTTACTGGTTTACTTGGTTTGGTCATCCCTAAGTAGATGCTTCCTTTTGGCTTCTCTCCCTCCTCCTCCATGTCAGTAAAATCATTGTTTCTGTGGGAGGCCTGTACAGTATAGAAATCTGGGAAGGCAATGACATCTTAGTCCTGGGTGAAGGACATCGAGAAGAGAAGGAGTAAGTTCAAATCCTGGCTCACCATTCGCTAGCTGTGTGGCCTTGGGAAAAGCACTGTAACCATTCTGGTACTTCATTTCATGTCTCAGATGAGTACATCCTATGCCATATTGGGTTGCTTATGTTTAAATGAGGTGATGCATGTAAAGGCTTAAATGATGTCAGTTATTATTGTAAGAGAAGTAGAGTGGTTAGGCTGGAGGGCAGACCTTGGGTTACAGGCTGCCTAACAGTGTTCAGGGACTTGCAGTCATTGAGCAGAAGCACTAGAGGAGGGGTCTTGGGCATGAGCTATGTATTGTAGTTTACTTTTGGCAAGAAGGACAGAAGTTGAAGGTGACATCAATTTTTTTCTTAGATGCATGCAGGAAATCCTACAGGTACTTTTATTTTTGTGGGCAAGGGAACGAGGTGAAGAGGGAACTGCAGCAGATGGCTATTTTTCTTTGGTCCTTGTGGCTTTTGACCTTCTGGTGGCTTCTGAGTCATCAG